AGCAGAGCAAGGAGGTTTGGACTAGAGGGTGGAAGCTGGTGCCTTGAGCATTTCCCAGAGCTCCTGAGGTTCCTGGGTCCTTGGCACTAGGCAGAGACCACATTGTTGCCTGCCGTGACCTTATAGAACATTCTTCTGGGTGTTGTTTTCAAATTCCCCAAATTAACAAAGAGCATTTGGTTCTTAGTATGCAATACTGAAGGGAATAAACAGCCCTGGTGAACTTTACAGTTACTCCAGCCAAGAATTGGAATCAGGAATTGCCTCTGGGGCCTTGCTTTAGCTCTTTCCCCAGTCAACTCCTTTGTCCTCAATCCCACATGTGGGCTTTCCACCATTTTGCCTACACATCCTCCAAAGTCTTGCTTAAATCCCACCTCTTCCTGACACTGTGCTGATCCCTGTCTGCTTTATACTTCATAGTTGCTTTAAGTAAATTAGAAACTTAGAGAGGAAAGAAAGGTCTTTGAGATGCAGTATTTGGAGGAAGTTTCATTAATTTGAATGAGTAAGGCTATGTGGAGACATAAACAAATGCTTAGTTGGGAATTTGGGGTGTGCATGTTTGTGGCATGTGGGTGTTTGTGTGTCATATGTTAGTGTGGGAATTAGCAAAGAGGACACGCTTACTAGAACAGAAAGTCTTTTTTGGAATTTGAAAAAATTAAGGTTAGATTTAAGTAGGAGACTTGGGTTCAGTCTACAGGACTTTCAAGCTAGGAGAGTCTGATCAAGATGGGAGAGGAAACCAGGCTCGGTGGCTCACACCTGTAATCCCAGCATTTTGGGAGACGGAGGTGAAAGGATTGTCAAAGCTCACGGATTTGAGACCAGCTTGGGCAACATGGAGAAACCTCATTTCTACAATAAGTAAAAAAAAAAATTGACCAGGTGTGGTGGCACATGCCTGTTAGTTGCAGCTACTTGGAAGGATCGCCTGAGCCCAGCAGGTCAAGGCTGTGATGGCCATGAATGTACCTCTGCACTCCAGCCTTGGTGACAGAATGAGACTCTGACTCAGAAAGAAAAAAAAAAGATGGGAGAGGAGTTAGATCAAGATCTGGTTAATAGTCAAGAGCCATTGTGAGTTCTACAAGGAAGGGGATGCATGGTGAGATAGCCCACTCAGATCTGGGATTCATTTTTTTTGTTTTGTTTTTTGTTTTTAGAAAGTAGGATTTATAGCCAGGCTCGGTGGCTCAGCCTGTAATCCTGTGCCTTGGGAGGCTGAGGTGAGTGGATTGCCTGAGCCCACGGGTTCGAGCAACTGGGCAACTTGGTAAGACCTCATCTCTACAATAAATCAAAAATTAGCCGGACGTGGTAGCGTGCACCTGTAATTCCGTGTAATTGGAAGGCTGAGGCAGAAGGATCGCCGGAGCCCAGCAGGTTGAGGCTGCAGTGGCCAGGAGCGGCCACTGCACTCCAGTCTGGGCGACAGAGTGAGACTCCAGCTCAAATAAAATAAAATAAAGTAAATTTAAAAAAAGAAAGGATTTATTGAGAGGACAGAGAAGTCCCACAGTGGGAGGGTACCTGAAAGCGTTGCCCCATTGGTTGGTTTTGCTAGAAGCTCTGTGTGCCCACACCAGGGGTCCAGGAGAGCCTACTGACAGGGCTGAGGAAGATTCCAGAACTGGTGTTTAGAATACTTGTGTTTCAGTGCACTTGGTAGGAAATTAAGGAAATAGAAAATACCTCTCATCTTCTACAGTTCTATTTTCCCTTTTGTTTTATCTTTTTCTTTTTTTTTTTTTTTTGAGGTGGAGTCTCACTCTGTCACCCAGGCTGGAGGGCAGAGGGCAGTGGCATGCTTATAGCCACTGCATCCTCGACCTACCAGGGTCAGGCAATCCTTCCATCTCAGCCTTCCAAGTAACTGGAACTACAGGCACATGCCACCATGCCCAGCTTATTTTTTGATTTATTGTAGAAACGAGGTCTCACCAAGTAGTTGCCCAGGCTGGTCTCAAACTGCTGGGCTCAGGCAGTCTTCTCACCTTGGCCTCCCAAAGTACTAGGATTACAGGCAGGAGCCACCGCACCCAGCCAGTTTTCTCTATAGAGTGAATATTTACAGAAGACTTGACCTTGTGCTGCAGCATTAGCTATACACCATTTCTGAATTGCTCATGATCCTGTGGTAGGGAAGAAAATGCAACTATAATGAAATCCATAGTTAATATTAGACTAAGTAGTTTTTGCCTTCTTTACCGCTATGATTCTAACTTTTTCTTGGGTTAGATTACAAAAAATGACTTTTCTTTTCCTTGCTCACTCATTGTGGAGTAAATTAACCCAAAGATGCTTTTTTTCTTTTCTGCCAGCGAAGAAGGAAAGAAAGAAGGCGGTGACCCATGGCTGTGTCATTAGCACTTAAGAAATTACTCTGAGGAATTTGGATTTCAGGTTTTGAGTGGGCAACTGTGTGAGAACGATAACAAGCCAGCAATGTTAGTAATAAACTAGAGAAATTATTTCATGAACCATAGGCATTTATTTTAATTTTAAAAAAGTTATGAAATCCAGTGATTGGGAGGTAACTCCAGTGCTTAAAAATATAAAAGTGTAGGAAGATTATTTTTATTATGAAAAATTTCAAACATAAATGGTTGTGTTAGAGTGTATATCACGTATATTTAAAAATTTGAAGACTAATACAATAATCGCCTTTACTCCATCATCCAGATTCAGTAGTGATCAAAATTTGCCACAATTGCTTCATCTGTCTCCTTTGATCATGGTTTGCTAAAGTATTATAAAGTACATCGCTGATGTATGTTACTATGCATCTCAACAATGCCATAGGCACATTCTTGATGTCATCCAATATCCAGTACATATATATATTTCTTTTATTACCTGAAAGTATCTTTTTACATTTGGTTTGTTCAAATCAGGATCTAAACAAGACTCTTATGTTGCATTTAATTTGTTTGAATCTCTTGTAATCTAGTGGTTGAGATTTTTGATAGCTGGTTTGGGTGACTGGGGGTGGAAGGGTGAAAGGAGAAGGGGTGAGGTGATGGATTTTAATCCATGCTAAAAGGAAACTTTTAAAATCTCAGAGTCTGTTGGGAGGAAGGAGATGCGCTTGGAGTATTAATATTTATAGCTGAAATAATATTTTTTAGGTTCATGTCAAACTCTTAGATGTCTCCTTTAAAGTAGTAGTATTTATGTATGCAGTAAGTCCCCTACATATGAACCTTCAAGTTACGAACTTTAACGATGCATATGTGGATTTCTTTGTGTATTGTTTCTCTTCACCAGGTGTCAATATAGCCTTTAAATACATACAGTACTATATAGCCAACTGTGTTAGTTGGGTACCTAAACTATCTTTGTTGGACTTACAACAAATGGACTTATGGATGTGCTCTTGGAACTGAACTCATTTGTATGTTGGAGACTTCCTGTATTTTATCCTGTGTGAAACATACAGCTAAATTTGAGTTGCTATTTGGAATGTTTAGTCAGAAACTGAAACTGTCTATTTTATATCAAACTGGAATAAAGGAAAACAAATCCCAAATGTGTTTCTAAGAGATCTAATTCTCACAACAAATTGGATAGCAGTTATCTTTCTGCAGAATGTCTTCCTTAATTGTAAATATAGTATTTTTCCTGTGCACTTTATCTGTTTATTTCTATATATTAAATCCAGACACTGTTCTTCCAAGGTAATTGTGTCTTCCTCCACTGAATTTGCTATTTCTTGAGAAAATGTTACATAATCTAGTAGGACATAAATTTTTTTTAAAAACTTTTTTAAATGAAATCATAATGACTGAGCATGGTGGCTCACACCTGTACTCCCAGCACTCTGGGAGATGGAGGCGAGAGGATTGCCGGAGCCCAGGGGTTTGAGACCAGATTGGGCAACTTGGTGAGTCGTCTCTACAGTAAATCAAAAAATTAGCTGGGCATGGTGGCACACGCCTGTAGTTCTGGCTACTTAGAAAGCTGAGGTGGAAGGAACTCCTGAGCCCAGCAGGTCTAGGCTGCAGTATCTGTGAGCGTGCCACTGCACTCCAGCCTGAGCGACACAGTAAAATTCTCACTCAAAAAAAAAAAAAATATTCTTAAGTACTCTAAAATAACACTTAGTGTAATAGAGCAGAAAGTCTGATGAGGTGTTCAAATAACTTTAAAACATTTATGGGCTTGGCGTGGTGGCTCAAGCCTGTAATTTCAACACTTTGGGACGCCGAGGCGAGAGGATTGCCTAAGCCCAGGGGTTCGAGACGAGCCTGGGCAACTTGGCGAGACTTTGTCTCTACAATAAGTCAAAAAATTAGCTGAACGTGGTAGCACACACCTGTAGTCCCAGATACTTGGAAGACTGAGGTAGAAGGATCACCTGACCCCAGCAGGTTGAGGCTGCGGTGCTTGTGAGCATGCCACTGAATTCCAACCTGGCCGACAGTGTGAGACTCCACCTCAAAAAAAAAAAATGTATGCCTCTTCCCAGATAACTTGTTTTCTTAATTCTCTGTAGCATCTGGTTGAAAATTTTATTTGTGGTAAGCTACATTTTGAGAGAGAAAAAAATGATTACTAAAATAGTTTAAAATGTGTTTGCTTTGAGTATGTATCATCCCTATACATATAGAATATAAATTATAGTATACTATAAAACTGCATTCTGTTTGTTGAAAATGTTCAGTCTTGTGGTATAAAGCATCTATGAGAACGTTCTGTTCACCCTTCTTCAGAACGTTTGGAGTGTAGATGTAAGCCTACATAGTAAAATTTGTTTTATAGACCCAAGATACATGCTTTATACACAGTAGTTGTAAAAAATGGAATTTTTTATAACTTAGGATCTTAATAAAGAGGAAAGTGTGTGAAAGGTACAAGTGAGACATTTTTTAGTTCCAGCCACCCTTCCCAGTGCAAGGATATTATTATAATCTAACAGTGTGAATATACAGTAATTTGTACTTTTATCTGTGGTGCCTGATGATTGCAAGTGTTTGCTTCTATATGCCTTTTAGGTGCCCTAATGTGGATCTGCAAAAGCTGCCAGAACAGTGGTTATGGAGTGTTTTAGAGGAAATTAAAAGCAGTGATCCTTCATCTAAACTCTGTGCTACAAGGCGCAGTGCTGGAATTCCGTTCTATATACAGGTACTTACCCATCGGACCATAGCTGATGTTTAGTTGATTTTTGATAATCATGTATTCTAACCCCTCTGACATGTGAGTGAGCATATTGCATAAGGGACATTTCTGTCTTTTCAGTACCACAGCATTTGTGGCTTTGTTTTAATGTGGGGACAGTGTGTTCCTGTGACAGATCTGTTCTTGGAACAAACCCTCTAAGAGGTCAATCTTGTAATATAAACAGAGGGTGATATAGATTCCGCTTGTGTATTAAGTAGGCAGATATCACTGTGGTGCATTCATCGCTTCCTTCCAGGAAGTGCCCCTGTTACCCATTTTTTTAAAGTACCAAAAAAAAAAAATAGACTTCCTTTTATTGCAAGACCCTCAATACTCTTTGTAGGCAACTAGTGTTGACGGTTTCTTTTCAGTCTTTCTATAAAATGTCCACCCATAAAATAATCATAATCATAAAAGTAGCTAACATTTATTAGTGGCTGTTTCACATATATTACCTCATTGAATCCTTCTCCAAGCCCTATGAGATAGCTACGGTTATTATCCATGTATTCTAGATGAAAAAACTGGAGGTTAGAAAAGTTAAGTGACTTGCCAAAGGCCACACTAAGAGCTGGGCTGAGGTGAGCCTGAACAGCCTGACTCCTGAGCTTGTGCAGATGAGAGTATGTGAGGGCATGTCTTTCTTCCGAACATAGCTGAAAACATGTTATATGCACTGTTTTCCCTTTGATGTCACTTAACATTTCACCTTAAAGATCGCTCTATATCAGCACACCTAGATGTTGCTATTGTTGGAAACATATTTGATTTCCATAGTGTACAAATTAAGAGACTTGCCTTTGTGAACCCCCAAAATAAAAACCAATCTTCTCACAATACTAAATCACACCCCATCCTGAGAGGCCTTTCAGTAAGATTAAATCCAGGTATGACATGGTGTAATAAAAGCACTGAAAATAGAGGAATTTTTAGTGCCCCTATGTATTTTTCTTATGGTTCCCTCATATTCCCAAAGTCCCTTTATGCTGTTTTGGCGACAGTGCTCACCCATTGCAGAGGTGGTTGACAGAGATCATTGGGCTGATTCTGCTGGATGAATTTTGGTGACCTTCAAAAATCAGCTCCTATCTAATCTGACCCATTCGGGATCAGTGTAACTCTTTCTCCTGCCTGTATGTAATTCAATCTTCCCTGGTGTGTCCACATGTCACTCGTCTGTCTGTGGACAGATGTGAAGGCAGCAGCAGGGTCTCACTGCCTGTTCATGCAATGCACTTTTTCTGGCTTTGGTGCCCAACGAGTACTAAATACTGGTCATAGTGCTGGAGCTACCAGAAGGTGCCCTTCAACCCTGGCTTGGCAACAGTGCCACAACTTTGCCCAGCTCTTTGGAGGAAGAAAAGCCAAGGTTCCTGGAAGGTATTTCAGTAGTTGCTTGTAGCCTTCTTATTTATTAGTTTAATGAGGACAACTCTACTAAAAAAGAGAGTCCCCATTTCTCTTACTGTGACTTACCAATAAAATTATATCCTTTGTTCTGGTGGAAACCTTTGCGTAGCATTAGCTATGGAGAAAAACTGCCTATTTAGTTTATGAGTTTACCTTTTGTTTTGACAGGTAAAAAAGTTTTTTTAAATATAGTCATAAATTTTTTTTTTGGTATAGTCATTTATAAGAATAATATAAAGGCCAGGCATGGTGGCTCATGCCTGTAATCCCAGCACTTTGGGAGAACAAGGTAAGAGAATTGCCTGAGCCCAGGGGTTCGGGACCAGCCTGGGCAACTTGGTAAGTCTCTATAATAAATCAAGAAAAATTAGCCGAGCATAGTGACACACCCCAGCTACTTGGAAGGCCTGAGGCGGAAAGATCACCTGAGTCCAGCAGGTCGAGACTGCGGTGGCAATGAGCATGCCACTGTACTGCAATCTGGACGACAGAGTGAGACTCCAACTCAAAAAAATAAAAATAAAAATAATATATGTTTCCTCAGCATAAATATAGTGTGACAAAATTTCTTCTAAAACTAACTTTTTTTTTTTTTTTTTTTGCATGTATGTCTTTATTTTCCTGTTATGGATTATAAATGCTTTGGAAGAAGTTGAGTAGTTGAAACTTTCACTCTTCAGAGTCAGTAGCTACATACATGTGAGGTGTGACAATTAAGTTTGTGATTCATCCTAGAAAAAGTGCTGCCAACCTTATTGCTGAATATCACTATGGTCGCCTTCGAAGTACTCCTCTTGGGAAGCTATGCACCATTGCAGCACCTAGTCCAATCGTCAAAGCAGTTTTGGAACTCTTTTTCTGGAATGCTCATTAGAGCTCTCATTACGAGAATGTCAGAGTTTGAATTAGAGCAACAAACAAACATTAAATTTCTTGTTAAACTTGGCAAGAGTGGAAGTAAATCAGGGACATGTTAGTCCAACTTGATGGGAATAATGCCATGAAGAAAACAGCAGTATACATACGGATTAAACATTTTTCTGAATGGAGAGAAAGTGTCCCTGAAGAAAAGAGGTCAGAATGGTTAGTAATGAGCAGAACTGATGAAAACATTGCAAAAATTCCTTGAATTATGTGTCAAAATCATCGGCTGACTGTGAGAAGCATAGCAGACCAAGTACACATCGAGAAATAAGAAAATCTTAACTGAAAATCTTGGCATGAGAAGGGTGTGTGCAAAAATGGTCCTGAAGGAGCTCTTGCATCACGACAACGCACTAACTCATCCAACACTGTCTGTGAGGGAATTTGTAGCCAGTAAACAAATAACTGTATTGGAATACCCTCTCTACTCACCTTATCTGGCCCCCAATGACTTTTTTCTTTACCCAAATACAAAGGAAATATTGAAAGAAAGACATTTGATGACCTTCAGAACATCAAGGGTAATATGATGACATCTCTGATGAACATTCCAGGAAAAAAAAGAGTTCCAAAATTGCTTTGACTGGGTGCTGGCATTGGTGCATAGCTTCCCAAAGGAAGTACTTCGAAGGTCACCAAAGTGACATTCACCAACGAGGTATGTAGCACTTTTTCAAGGAAAAGTGCCCAAACTTGATTGTTAGACCTCATGTCAAAAGTAGATATAGAGGAAGGGCATCTGAGAATGTGACTGAAGTGATTTTGCTCTAACAGCTTCATTGAGATATAATTCCCATCCTAGATATTCACCCATTTAAAGTGTACAGTTTAGGCCAGGCGCGATGGCTCAAGTTTGTAATCCCAGCACTTTGGGAGGTGGAGGCCAGAGGATTGCCTGAACCCAGGGGTTCGGGACCCGCCTGGGCAACTTGGCAAGACCTCTTCTCTACAATAAATCAAAAATTTAGCCAGGTGTGGTCGCACACGCCTGTAGTTCCAGCTACTTGGAAGGCTGAGGCGGAAGGATTGCCGGAACCCAGCAGTCGACGCTAGGGTGGCCGTGAGCATGCCACTGCACTCCAGCCTGGGTGACAGAGTGAGACTCCAACTCAAAATAAATAAATTAATTAAATAAAATGTACAATTCATTCATTTTTAGTATATTCACGGAACTGTGCAGCCATACTACAGTCCAGTTTTAGAGCATCAGCCCCCAAAACCTCTATGCACCTTTGAGGTTACTCCCATTTTCTTCTAACCCTGCTACTCCCAGCTCTTGGCAACCACTAATTTACTTTCCATCTCTATAGATTTGCTCATTCTGGGCATTTCCTTTGAATGGGCTGATATAGTATATAATCTTTTGTGCCTGGCTTCTTTCACTTAGCTTAATATTTTCAGGGTTCACTCATGTTGTGCTATGTATTAGTACTTTATTCCTTTTTATGGCCTCCAGTGTTTTGAGATCCCATTTTTATGATTATTGGATATTTGCAAATTTTAGACACAAAGTAAATAAGCAGCTCTTAGGAATTTCAAATATAGGAAGCCTGTGGGGTTTGTAGTCTTTCTTTTTGTCCCATGGGGTTTTAAATACTATGATTTGATTAGTTCTTCAGGGATAGACTCTTTTGTGAAGAATTAAATAATCGCTCAATCTCCAGGGAGCCTCTAACTCCTTTGAAGAAATTTAATCCAGGTTTTTGGTGTTTTTCAAATAAAGAGAATTTTTTTTGTTGTTGTTGGATAAATTTGTTATTAAAACTGACTTGCTTATTGTATCTTAGGCCTGTCACCTAATTATGGTCCTTAGTTGTTAATAAGAGCAGTTTCTCAGTTTCTTAGAACTATAAAAAGAGCAAGCAAACTGGAAGTAACCTTAGAGATGCTGTGTTTTCACATTCACCTAATTTTTTAGGTGAAGAATCTGAGGGATGACCAGGTTAGACCACTTGCCCAAGGCCACATGGCCTAATTAACTTGTCTTGATAACCATATGTTTTTATAAAGGAGATTTTGCATTTTGGGATTGAGTCAGGGAAGCAGCAAGTAAGTATATGTAAAATAAGAGCTCTGGTAGTTTTTGCCTTGTTTCTCCATAGGCACTGTTGGCATCGGAACCAAAGAAAGGCAGAATGGATTTGCTGAAGATAACGATGAAGGAGTTGATCACTTTGGCTGGGCCCACAGATGACTCACAGAGCACAGTCCCCCAGGTAATAATGGAAATATGCAAACCGTGCTAGGAAGGCAGTGGTGTTAAATCTTTGCAGTATTTATTTTAAAAAGCGTCTGCTATCCGGGCACAGTGGCTCACACTTGTCATCCCAGCACTTTAGGAGGCGGAGGCCAGAGGATTGCCTGAGCCTAGGGTTTTGAGACCAAGCTGGACAACATGGCGAGACCTCATCTCTACTGTAAATCAAAAAAATTAGCCATGTGTGGTGGCACACACCTTTAGTTCCAGTTACTTGAAAGGCTAAGGCAGAAGGATCCCCTGAGCCCATCCGGTTGAGGATGAGGTGGTCGTGAGCGTGCCACTGCATGCCAGCCTGGGTGACTCTGACTCAAAAATTAAAAAAATAAAAATAAAGAAAGGAAGCTTCTGCTAGAGATAAAGAACTCTTAAAGATGGAATAGACATTTGAAACTTGTTTGAAGAGGTTTTCTTTTTTCTTTCCTGTCCATAAAATCACCCTTTGTTTTAGTTGATTGTATTAATCAAAGTGGACTATTTTTAGACTCTGATGAATACACCTAACTTATATAAAATACTTTATAATATTACTGCATCTAAAAATGTTAAAGTGAGTATGTTATCACTTTAGAATTTCATGCGAGTTTCTTTGGGTTGATAATGCATTTTGTGACTCAGCAGTTGAATCTTTGCTTAAATGTAGTATCTAACTTGACATAGTCACATATTAATTTTAGCTAATATGTAGTCCCTTATAGTCACTTACCTGCATGTAGATTTTGGAATATTTGCATTATACACAACAGTTCAGCATCCCTAATCTGAAAATCCAAAACCCGAAATGCTCCAATGAGCTTTTCTTTTGAGTGGTCGTGTCGTTGCTCAAAAGTTTCGGGTCTGGAGTATTTTGGATTTCAGATTTTCGAATTTGGGATGCTCAATCTGTACTATTTTTATAAGGACAGTTCAAAGTAATGGGGTTTGGTTTTAAAGAGGGTTGGATACTTATTGTCCTACTTTACTTCAAGATGATTAATAGCATTTTTAAGAAACCAGTAAAATTTAAAAATTTTCTTTCTGACTAGTCTTCTAGGCTTTAGTTGATAATGTGCTTTCCTTCTTCCCTCCCATGGCTCGTTTCTTTATTATTTTGATTTTGTTTTTGAAATATGTCCGCATACAGTATTTCAATATGTGTAGGGAATAATGGACATGCTTGAGACCGGTTCCTTTCAGAAATTCTGCTTCGTGAGGCAGTTACGTCCATGTGGCCTCTTCCCTATCTCATTCCCCTCTTTCCTCAGCAGTCATCACCAGCCAGAATTAGTGTTATCTTTCCCGTGTATTTTTGTTGTTCTCTTATGATGTTCTTTTACATGAATGTTGACATCCACACATTTTATGGTTTGAGTTTTTCCTTTTTTTTGAGAGAGAGAGGTACAAATGTTCCAGAGTCTTTTATTAATCACCTGTGGTTCAATATCATACAGCATTAGCAAAAAACAAATGACTGCTTGGAGAGCTTACTGTTGTTTTCTCCTAAAACAGCCTGTTGTCTTCTTACCTGTCTCTTCCCAGAGATTCTCCCAACTCTATAGATCTGTAGTGACAGATAAGGACAGCTTTTCTGGTAACCTATACCTTAGTCTAAAGTGCAGCTCCATTATTTTCTAAGATTAGTAAGCATCAGTTTATTTTCTTTTTCTGAGTCTGTCACCCAGGCTGGCGTGCAGTGGCACACTCATGGCCACCACAGCCTCAACCTGCTGGGCTCAGGTGATCCTTCTGCCTTAGCCTTCCCAGTAGCTGGAATTACAGGCACTTGCCACCACGCCCAGCTATTTTTTAAAAATTTATTGTAGAGATGAGGTATTGCCAAGTTGCCCAGGCTGCTCTGGAATCCCTGGGCTCAGGCAATCCTCTCATCTCTACCTCCCAAAGTGCTAGGATAGCGGGTGTGAACCACCGTACCCGGCCAGAAGTTTTAAATTTTAATGAAATAGAATAGCTTTTTCCTTTATGGTTTGTGCATTTGAATCTTATTTAAGAAATTCTCAAACGCCAATGTAAAAAAGATATTTTATATATATTTTTAAAAATTTTACTTGTCACATTTCTATCTTTACATCACCTGTAATTTGTTTTACGTGTGAAATAGGGAAACAATTGAATGGCTAGGTAATCCCAGCACTTTGAGAGGCAGAGGTGAAAGAATTATCTGAGCCCAGGGATTTGAGACCAGCCTGGGCAACATAGCAAGACTTCATTTTTACAGTAAATCAAAAAATAGCCAGGTGTGGCGGCACGCGCCTGTAGTTCAGCTACTTGCAAGACTGAGGCAGAAGAATCTCCTGAGCCCAGCAGATCGAGGCTGTGGTAGCCTTGAGCATACCACTGTACTTCAGCCTGGGCAACATAGTGAGACTCTGACTCAAAAAAAAAAAAAAAAAAAGGCAAAGAAAAGAAAAAAAATAATTGCATATTTGCCATGATAGAAGCATTTTTGGTAGTCCTTTTCCCTCTTGATTTATAATACTACCTCTGTTATGTGCTGTTTTCATAGATATGCTGTTCTCTTTCTGTGCTCTGTTTTAGTGGTCTGTTAGTCTATCTGTGGGACAGAATCACTATTTTAATTATTACTATATTTTTGTAATAAGTTATGAGATCTGGTAAAGTGAGCCTCTCTTTTTTTCTTCATAATGATCTTGGGTATATTTGTCCCATTACTCTTTCATATAAATTTCAGAATCAGCTTGTTAAGTTCAGTAAACAACCCTTTTGGAATCTTGATTAGGATTTAAATGTATGCATTGATTGGGGGGAAAAATGACCTTTTTAAAAAATTATATTATCTATTGCTGTTGTGTGAGAATACAGTTTATTTTTTGGTTATTGTGCATATTTGAACCTATTTGAATTGTGGTAATATAATCAATAACTAATCTATACAATTTGGGGTTTTTTTTTTAACTGGAGAAAAAGCATATAAATCTTACTAACATGTACAAAGGGAGAACCATACAGTGATTACCCTGGTTTTTTAATTTTTATTTTTATTTTTTGAGTCAAAGTCTCACTCTGTCACCCAGGCTGAAGTGCAGTGGTACACTCATGGCAATTTTATATAGAAATAGAGACAGTAGGCTTCCTCATGTTGTTTCTTATATTTTGCTGTAATTTTTAGTCTGTCCTTCATTTTATTAAGGAAATAGAATTTTTTTTTTTTGATTTGTAGTCTCACTCTGTGGCTCAGACTGGAGTGCAGTGACACACTCAAGGCCATTGCAGCCTTGATCTGCTGAGCTCAGGCTATCCTTCCGCCTCAGACTTCCAAGTAGCCAGAACTATAGGCATGTGCTACCACCCCTGGCTAATTTTTTGATATATTGCAGAGAAAAGGTCTCACGAAGTTGCCCAGGCTGATCCTGAACCCCTGAACTCAGGCAAACCTCTTACCTTGGCCTCCCGAAGTGCTGGGATTACAGGCTTGAGCCACCGCACCTGGCCTAGGAAATTGAATTTTACTGCTTTTCTACATCCTTTGAGATAAATGTGTGTTTTCTTCTAGAATTTGCAAATGTCATGAATTATATTGATTTTTATCATTTTTATGTTTTTAGTCAGAGTCTCAGTCTGTGGCCGAGACTGTAGTGCAGTGATACTCTCATAGCCACTGCAACCTCAACCTACTGGGCTCAGGTGAACCTTCCACCTCAGCCTTCCAAGTAGCTGGAACTATAGGCACACGCCACCACTCCCAGCTAATTTTTTGATTTATGGTAGAGATGAGGTCTCGCCAAGTTTTCCAGACTGTTCTCAAACCCATGGACTCAGGCAATCCTCTCACCTCTGCCTTCTAAAGTGCTGAGATTATAGGTATGAGTCACCATGCCTGGCCTTGTATTAATTTTTAAATTTAATACTGTGTTTGCATGCTAAGAATAGGTCCATCTTTGGCATGATGAATGCATATTCTCACTGGCTTCATAAGTAAGATTGACCTGTGGTTTTCCTCCCTCATGGTGTTTCTGTCCTGTTTTTTTAATGTGCATCTTTGAATGGAATTAGTACACAGAGAAGTGTACAAAAGTGTATTGAGTGTATAACTCAATATAGTATCACAAGTTTAACACACTTGTGTAACTAGCAAGAAATAGAATATTTCTAGCACTGGATGCCCCTCATTCTCTCTTCTACCCAGCACTCTCTCTTTTAGAGTAGCCCCTACCTGACTTATATCACCTTAGTCTTAGTTTTACCTATTTTTTGAATTTTATATAAATGAAACCATACATTATAAATCATACTTGAAACTTGGCGAGACCTCATCTCTACAATAAATCAGAAAATTAGTTGAGTGTGGTAGCATGTGCCTGTAGTTCTGGTTACTTGGAAGACTGAGGTGGAAGGATTGCTGGAGCCCAGCAGGTCGACGTTGGGGTGCTGTGAGTATGCCACTGTCCAGCCTGAGTGATAGAGTGAGACTCCAACTAAAATAATAATAATAATAATAAAATTAAAATAAAATTGAAAATGAATCATACTTGATATTATTTCTTTTGGTCACATTATGTTTATGATATTCATGTTGTAATTTATTCATTTTCATTATTGTATAATTGTGTATAATTTATCCTTTCTACTGTTGATGAACGTTTCTTTTTTTTGAGCCGGAGTCTCACTCTGTCACCCAAACTGGGGTGCAGTGGCTGCTCCCGGCCACCACAACCTCAACCTGCTAGGCTCTGGCTATCCTTCCGCCTCAGCCTTCCAAGTAGCTGGAACTACAGGCACGCGCTACCACGCCCGGCTAATTTTTTAAATTTACTGTAGAGATGAGGTCTCGCCAAGTTGCCCAGGCAGGTCTCGAAGCCGCAGGCTCAGGCAATCCACTCACCTCAGCCTCCCAACGCGCGGGATTACAGGCTGAGCCACCAAACCCGGCTGATGAACATTTTCATAGTTTTTAATTTGGGTTTTTTGGGGTGTTTTTTTTTTGAGTCAGGGTGTTACTCTTTTGTGCAGGCTGGAGTGCAGTGGCACATTCATGATTCATTGTAGCCTCTGATTCTTGGGCTCAAATGATCCTTCTGCATCAGCATCCCAGGTAACTGGCACTACAGGTGTATGCTACCAAACCTGGCTAATTTTTTTTAATTCGCTTTTTTTGTAGAGACGGGGTCTCGTAATGTTGTCCAGGCTGGTCTCGAACTCCTGGGCTCATGCAATTCTCTCACCTCGGCCTCCCAAAGTCTTGGCATTACAAACATGAACCACTGGGCCTGACCTGTTTTAGGTTATTAAAAATAGAATTTCCAAGAATATTCTTGTACATTTTTAATGGTGAACATACGTGTATATGTCTGTTGATTATATGCCTAGGTAAAGCTAATGGGTATGGATAAGGTTATTTCACTTTGGTAGATACTACCATTTTCCCAAATTTATAGTCCTTACCTTGTTTTGGTAGGCTATACTAGACTCATGAAAAAAATTTGAGAGTCTTCTCTTTACAGTTTGTATAAGATTAGAATTATCTATTTTTTGAGTGTTTGCAGCATTTATCTGTAAAACTGTGTCTTTTTTAGTTGTGGTTAATTTCTTGAGTTTTTTTTTTTCAGACTATCGATTTTGAAAAAATATAATGGTAATCTCTCTAAATTTTCAATTTCTCGTTGAATTTGTTTTAATAAAGTTTATTTTCTGAGAAATTGTTTTATCTTAATTGTTCAAATTGATTCGGGTAGGATAATTCATAGTATTATCTTTTATTGATTTCCTGCTGTATGTGTAGTCACGTTCACTTTAACATTCATAGTATCTCTTATTTGTGCCTTCTCCCTTCTTATCTCGGTTAGTCATGTCAGGTTTATTTCTGTTTCAAAGAATCAGCTTTTGGTTTTGTTAATACTTTTTTTTTGGTTTGTATCTTTGCTATTTAAAAAATTTCTGCTCCTTTATTTTTATTTTCTTTTACTATTTTGACTTTATCGTTGTTTTTCTTTTGACTATTTGGACACTTAGGACATTTGTTTTAAGTTCCCCCTAAGCTACATCCTACAAGTCTTGATATGTAGTGTCTTCATTATTGTTCGTCTCTAAACACAAAAATATTATTTTGACTAGTGTTTTTATGTGTTTTAAGATGTGTCCATTTTATTTTTCATTTTTAAACGATTTTATTTTATTTTAGATTGAGGGGTACATGTCCATGGTTGTTACTCGGGTATATTATGTAATGGTGGGGATTAGGCTTCTAGTGTAAATGTGTCTATTTAAAATGTAAAAAAATTTAGCTGGGCATGGTAGCGTGCATCTGTAGTTCCAGCTACTTGAAAGGCTGAGGCAGAAGGATTGCTTAAGCCCAGCAGGTAGAGGCTGTGGTGGCTGTGAACGTGCCACTGTACTCCAGCCTGGGTGACAAAGAGTGAGACTCCTACTCAAAAAAAAAAAAGTAAAGAAATTATTTCTAATGGAATTCCATGATGATCAGGGCATAATCTGTAAGTTATTTGTTACTTGGTATTTTTTGAGACTTTATTTGTAGCTAGGTTGAGGTCGTTTTATTTTTTAAAAAATGTTTTTTTGAGTCGGAGTCTCACTCTGTCACCTGGAGTACAGTGGCCCGATCATGCCACATTGCAGCCACATTTAAAAAAACAAATGTTCATGTGAACTTGAAAAAACTGTGTTGTCTCTATTTTATAGGTGCAGAATTCTATATATGTCTATTGGATCAAGCTTTTTTGGTGGATTGTTCAAATTTTACTAATTTTTGCAAATTTGTTTATCAACTATTGAGTATGTTTTATTAAATCTGTGATTTCATTTGTGGATTGTATATTTCTTCTTGTAATTTCGAAACTTTTACTGTTGAGTTTGTGCTGTTAGATATGTAGAGATTTAGTATTAAGATGGTTTTCAGCCCCAATGAATTTTGAACTTTTTGTTTTAGGTTCATGCTTTAAATATCCTGAGAGCCTTGTTCAGAGATACGCGTTTGGGAGAAAATATTATTCCTTATGTTGCTGATGGAGCTAAGGCTGCAATTCTGGGTTTTACGTCACCGGTCTGGGCAGTAAGTGCTCTTGCCATTTATTTTTTTTGACTTAATTATGCTTCTGAGTAGGTCTTAGTAAACTGACCTTTCACTGGATGATAAAAAATATAAACTGCTGCCGGGCTCGGTGACTCAGCCTATAATCCCAGTGCTTTGGGAGGCTGAGGTGAGTGGATTGCTTGAGCCCGCAGGTTCGGGACCCGCCTGGACAACTTGGCGAGACCTCATCTCTACAATAAAATAAAATAAAAAATTAGCCGGGTGTGGTAGGGCACACCTGTAGTTCCAGCTACTTGGAAGGCTGAGATGGAAGGATCGCTGGAGCCCAGCAGATAGAGGCTGCAGTAGCTGGGAGCATGCCACTGCACTCCAATCTGGGTGATAGAGTGAGACTCCAACTCAAAAAAAAAAAAAAAAAATATATATATATATACACACACACACACACACACACACAAAAACTGCATTTTATCAGGGAGTTTCTCTAAGGAATAAATTCTGCATCAAGCTACATTTGACCCTTGATATTTTTTGCTTCCTTTTGATCTCATTTGCTTTCTTACTTCAGTGATTGCTTTAGTGTTTACAGCATATATCTTGAACTTATTACAGTCTGCCCTCAAATGATATTACACCACATCCCTTAAACGGATGAGAACTTAACAATAGTGTACTTCTGTTTTTCTCCTCCCAATCTTTGCTGTCATTTGTTACACATTTTACTTTTCTGTATGTTGTAAGCCCATGATACGTTATTATTATTTTGGCTTTAAATAGTCAATTATCTTTTTTTTAATTTCCCCCTTTAGCCATTTTTTTTTTTTTTTTTTTTGAGTTGGAGTCTCACTCTGTTGCCCAGACTGGAGTGCAGTGGCCGCTTCCGGCCACCGCAGCCTCGACCTGCTGGGCTCTGGCGATCCTTCCGCCTCAGCCTTCCAAGTAGCTGGAATTACAGGTGCACACTACCACGCCCGGCTGATTTTTTGATTTATTGTAGAGATGAGGTCTCGCTGCCCCGGCGGGTCTCGAACACGTGGGCTCAGGCAATCCACTCACCTCAGCCTCCCAAAGGCGCGGGATTACAGGCTGAGCCACCGAGCCCGGCTCACTTTAGCCATTTTTAAGTGTACACAATGCTGTGGCATTAAGTGCATTCACAACAACTTCATCACTGCTGTGCATTTTCAGAACTTTTCATCATCCCTGACAGAACCTCTGTACTCATTAAATACTCTCCTCCCCCATCCCCTGGTAACTGTAACCTCTCTCCTACTTGCTATCTTTGTGGATTTGCCTGGCATAACACCTCATATAGGTGGGATTATGCAATACTTGTCGTTTGCTATTGCTTGTTTCATGTAGTGTATATCTTTAAGATTCATCAATGTTGTAACATGTATTAGAACTTCATTCCTTTTTTTTTAAGCTTCATTCCTTTTTAAGGCTAAATAATATTCCATTGTATGTACATACCATATTTTCTTTATTCATTCTTCTGTTCATGAATATATTGACTGTTTCTACTTTTTGGCTATTGTGAATAATGCTGCAGTGAATATTGGTATAGAAAGTCCCTGCTTTCAATTCTTTTGGGTATATCATTTGGTAATTCTATGTTTAATATTTTGAGGAGCCAACAAACTTTTCCTCAGCAGCAGGACCATTCTACACTCCCATCAGCATTTTCTTTACATTTTTTTAAGTAACACTTGTTCTGTATTTTTTAATAATAGCCATACTAATGGGTGTGAAGAGCTATCTCATTCTGGTTTTGTTTCGTATTTCCCTATTGATTGGTGCTATTGATCTGGAAGCAGAGCAACTCTTAGTATCTTAATGTGTCTGTCTTTTTGAGTGCTGTGGAGCCTGGGCATTAGTGTATTGAGTTAGCACTACAGATATTCTGTATCAAAAGTTTAAAAAACAAACACAAGACATTAAACTAGAGGAGGTTAAATGCCGTCACATTTTCTCTTGCAATAGGATCACTGTCCATAATTTTTTTGATTCAAAACTTTAAAGATAGTGGGCAATATCTAGTACAGTTGTTGGATTTAAGAAAGTAAACTTTAGGGCCAGTGTGGTGCCTCACGCCTTTATTCCCAGCACTTTGGGAGTCCGAGGTGAGAGGATTGCCTGAGCCCACGAGTTCAAGACTAGCCTGGGCAGCTTGGTGAGACCTCATCTCTACATTAAATCAAGAAAAATTAGTTGGGCATGATGGCGCATGCCTGTAGTTCCAGCTACTTGGAAGGCTGAGGAGGAAGGATCGCCTAAGCCCAACAGATGGAGGCTGCGGTGGCTGTGAGCGTGCCACTGCACTTCTGCCTGGCAGAAAGTGAGATTCCAACTCCAAAAAAAAAAAAGGTAAACTTTCATGTGTTTTTCCCTGATTCCTGGGAGAAGCACAATAGTCTTATTTTCCCATGTCTTTGTATCTTCTAGAATAAGGAGAATTACCTCTGGTTTGTAGGTACTTGAAATGTAGCTTATAATTGCAAAGAAAAAAGAGAAAGGAGAATAGAAGCTAGATCTTAGCACATTACCTGCAGGGTGGAATATTTACTAGAAAGACAGGCTTTCCGGTGAGCTGCACAAACCATTTCATACCTGTCTGGTAAGCCTCTAACTGAGAGTCAGTAGATTGCAGAGGCACAGACTACAGTATAAAGAGGGTTGTGCCATTCAAGGTTGCCAACCATTGCCTGGAAGACTGTGCATCTTCCTGTAAGAGATACACACTTCTGGAATTCTGTCTAGGAGCATTGCATAACTGCTCCTGAGGACACAGTGCTTACCTTTTGCCTTTACAGGAAGTAACACCTGTTTACCATCAGGGGTCAGAGAGGCAAGAATCAGGAAGACTAGAGGTCATAAAAGTGATGGCCAGAAGTATCAGTATTGTCTTCTTCAAACCGTTAATTACAGATGAACCAACAAGAAATACTTGTTGTGAAAGGGCTTTCAGAGAGTGAAACCTGGTGATTCTTCAAACTGTTTAGCAAAACTGAAAGTATCAGAAATGTGTAATTCATTTTTTTGAAGAGCATATTTTGAGACCCTAAACAGTGTAACACATGTGCACTGCAGACTTTACACATTTTGAAAATAAAGGAAAGCATAATAAGAGCAGTAAAAGTCATCCGTTAAATCAATATACAGATATAATTATTATTAACATTCTGATGCATTTTCTTTTTTATATGTGAATAGAACAATATGCACACATTCACAAAAGGCTGCACAAATATATATAAATGCTTATATTTTATTCCAAATTTTATAATTTTATTTCTTGAGATCATCTTTTAAACACTAGTTATAAAGAAATCTTTTGTTTCACTATTCAGTATTTGCTTTACTAGAGAAAAAATAGCTATGTATATCAGTACTGTTACTTTAATATATTAATAGTTATGTTTTCTTCCTTATATAAGACTAATCTAAGATGGACCAAAATTATAAATCAACCTAATCAGTGGATTTGGAGAAATCTTAATTTTACAGAAACCATTTAACACTTTGTTGAAGTGATTTAAAGGGTAGTTCTTCCTTTGTGTGTGTAAAATATGATTTGACTTACAGAAATTTGATTTGTATACATCCTCTCAGGAATAGATTTTTGCCTAAAGCTGGCTACACTGTACTTCTGACTTAATTGTTTTTCCTGATAAGTTAGAGAGGAAAGCCACACATGTAAAATGAACTTAATTTGTAGTGAAGGAACGTTTTTCAGAAAGCATTCATGTATATTTTAAATTTGTTTTTACAGAGTCCTCAATCTTTTGTATTAAGACCATACAGATCTCTCAATCTCTGCCACCTAGTAAGCATTTTTAAAATACAGAGAAAATGTATTATGTAAGCATGTTAGGCATTAGGCATACTTAGTGTATTGTAGTTGATATATTAAGTACTAGCAATATGAGGATACATAAGACATTATTATGACTGTCTTATTGAGTATTTCTCATGTACCTGGGATCAATTACATTATATTGATCTTTGTAGATTCTGTTATCCACACAGGTTCTGTTATAATCCTCATTTTATAAATAAAGCAAGGTTGGACTGGGTTCAGTGACTCACACCTGTAATCCCAGCACTTTGGGAGGTGGAGGTGAGAGGATTGCCTGAGCCCAAGGGTTCAAGACCAGCTTAGGCAACTTAGCAAGACCTCATCTCTACAGTAAATTTTTTAAAAAGTTAGCTAGACATGGTGGCGGATGCCTGTATTTGCAATTACTTGAAAGGCTGAGCCTAGCAGGTCAAGGCTGTGGTGGCTGTGAGTTGAGTGCCACTGCACTCCAGCTTGGACAACAGAGTGAGACTCTGACTCAAAGAAAAAGAAAACAAGGCTCAGAGAAGTGAACTGACTTTGCCTAAGGACAGATAGCTATTATCTGTGTAACTCTGGAATCCCTGCTATTGTAGAGGAAAGTTTAGGGTGTTAGAGGAATACAGAAAGATGTATTTTGTCTGTCTTGTATGTTTTGGTCCTATTTTCTTAGAAAACAGAGCTGGAGGTGAAGCCTGGGTCCTAAGGTTTTATTGAGTGGTACAGACTCAAAGCAGGAAGAATGAAAGAAAAAGAGAGGTGAGGCAAAGAAAGAGGAAAGATATTACCAAGTGGGCCTTAACATTACTGGAAAACTAAGTCGATTGTCTTGCACATGGAACATCTTCTAGCTAGACCATGTGAAACTACCCCCCTCTTAGAGTAGTCTGGTGTGCTGTCTCTTACTGATCAGTGTCCCTTGGGGCATTACTACAACTTGGGCAGGTATTGGCACAATCCTTGGGCTGCTGCTAGGGAAGCATGGCCCAGTGCCCTGTGATATAGCATCCCATCTGAGTCTGGAAATGACTGGAGGGTATAGGTGAGGTTTGAAACAATGACTCCCGCTGCTGTTGAAAATCCCTGCTTGAGAGAGGTTTACAGCAGGGGACTGATGGAGTCTGAGAGATGCTGGTCCAGTGGAGACTGATTGTAAGGTGGTGGGTGGGAGGGGGGAAGA